CAAAGGCTGATTAATCTGATAATCTGATTCTAAATGTAAGATTACAAATAGTCACACAAGAGAAGAAAAAACTTCACCAAGCCTATGAAGTGAAATACAGTCTACTGAAGCTACTTACTAAGGCTTTTTTTTTTTCTTTTGCTCAAGTAATTAAGAACACTTTACTTTAAAACACATATTAAAAGACAGTAAAACTAACTCACCTGTAAGTGGTGTAAGTGGTATAAGTGGTGAACAGACTAAAATCTAGAATTAAAAAAGGAGAGATTATCTGAAAATCTTACCTGCACATTTTATACTACGTGGTACGAATTGTGGTAAGGTTTAGCTGAACACTGTTGAGACTCTGTTTCCTTTACAGGAATTTCCTCTACTTGAGTGTCATCATCCCTTCCTTTTTCGGTTTAATTGCTTTAGGTTCAAAGTTTCCGGGTAATTTTCTTGTAAAAAGATAGGGGGAAAAAGGGTTGCCTCTACTAAAAAATCAAAGCTTTCTGAGCTTTAAATCCTTTACTTGCACTGCATTCAGAAATGCATTGGACTTTTTAGTTTGCTTCATTTAAGAGGAGGAATGGTAGAATATTCTTTTCTCTTTTTTTTTTTTTTTCCTAAGTGCTGCTACTGGATGGGTGAAAAGAGTACATCATTTCCAAAATCTGTAAGCCAGCCATACATCTTCTCAGTACAGAATAATATTCACTATACCCGGCAAGTTCTTACTATCCTTAGAATCATAGAATCACAGAATTGCTCTGGTTGGAAAAGACCTTCAAGATCATCAAGTCCTTAGTCACTTTCTGCATGATGCGAAGAGGCACTGTATGAGAGCTGTGACACACTATTACTATCTTTCTGTGCCCTCACACTTCAGAGCACTTCAGCATATCCAATATCCAATCCCACATGGTCCAGCTCCTCTTCCAAGGTTCCTCTAAAGATGTGAAATCCTTACAATACAGGCTGCATATTGACTCTGACTACATAAAAGCATAAGAGCATTTCAATAGATGTCGTTCGGATATACAGGTCTCTCTGCTTATGCTAGACATTTCAAGAGCAGTAGAACTTTTATACCCTTCCCCTGTGTGAGACTTACTCTCTTTACTGCAGCTTGGGGCAATTATTCTATTTCATTCAGGTTCCACGAGAAGAAGGTAAGAAAGGCTTTTTGCTGTACAGCAAATAAATGTAATATTGCCTCTGCTCAGAGAATCATAGAATCATTTCAGTTGGAAGGAAACGTTAAAGGTCATGAAGTCCAACTCCCCTGCAATAAACACATGCAGCTCAATCAGGTTGCTCAGAGCCCCATCCAGCCTAAAAATAGACACATTCTTTTAGGCAATAGCCAGTACTAATGTTTGTTTATGTTGGGTCCTGAGCATGTGGAAATATAAGATGGGTATTCTCAGATTCCACAGCTGGTGATTAAGCTTAGTGGTTGTTCCCTCCAATATTTTCAGTGTTTTGCCCCAGCACAAAATACATGTTTGATTTCTAAATTACAAGAGGCTGCAGTGATTCTTCATAGGTTTCAATATAAAGAGATGAGACTTTTGTAGGTGTCCTTTTTGACTGGGGGGAGAAAAATAAGCAGTTCACTTTTCCCTTTAATGAATAATGGAGTGCAACACAGACAAAGCAAAGCCCATGCTACCTTCATAGAATCACAAAATCATAGAATCATTAACATTGCAAAAGATATCTAATGTCTTCTAGTCCAACCGTAGACCCATCACCACCATGCTCACTAACCTAGAGCCATTGCTCAGACAACCAGGAAGAGGGCTGTTTTCCAAATACAAATCTTCCAAACATAAAATATACGTCAACCTTTTCAAGTACTAACAGGTTCATTAAAATAAATAATAATAAAAAATGAAGTAGTCCAATCACTTGATAAAACACCAGTCACCCAGAGTTCTGAATGAGGACAGATGGATGAAAATCTTGTCAAATTGTACCAACCATGTGGCTCAGCTTCTGCCAAGACTCACCCATCCTCTTCTGTAAAAGCAATATATATTCTAAAAATCAGTCTCACACACTGTACTTATCAGGCTCCTCCTTTCCCCTTGCTGCTAGAGCGTGTTTACAAAGGAACGGATCCAGAATTCCCTCTCTGCCTCCTCTCCACTCCCTCACTCAGCATATTTTAGGCTATGGCCATAAGAAACTGCAGGCTCCACACTCAGTAGTACCTTTCCATCCCCCTGGAAAGTCAAGGCAAGAGTCCATATCCTACCTTGTTCATCTCACATCTGCTCAAGCCTTCTGTCAGCCAAGAAGCAGAGGGGAAAATGTACTTCTCTCATCATCTCACCATCTCAGCATGTAATCTTACACTAGTAGGAAGAATTAAGTCTCTTTATCATTCTTGTACTATTCTGGCTTGACACATTCACGGACCACATCCACGCCTTCCGAGCTATGGTTAACACTGACTGAGTAAGATATTTTCCACTCTGTCTATTTTCTACACTGTGTCAGTGGTGTTGGTTCTGCTGTCACAGATGTCTGAACAATATCTGAACATGAACTTCTGTTCACCTTGTACTGGATTATATGGCCAGTGGAATGGCATAAGTCAAGTGGGTTATGGAGCAGTGGCGTAACTCACCTATTACTCCCCTGTGAAATAAGGGAAAGTCTTGTTATCTACCTAAATCTGTTGCAGTACAGCAGTTTTCCTTAGTCATTAGAGTGCAGTAAGACTAGTGTCACACTGATGAAATAATAACTGAACAGATCACCTGCAGGCAAATAAAAATGCAAAGCATATATTTATGAACCAGGCCTTTAAAATCTTTTTTCTCACAACCTTTCACATTGTTAATCAGAAAGGACTGACTAGTAACCTCAAATTTGACAGCAAACCTTTCTTGATAGTGTATCCCACTCTTTGGAAGCCCAGAAGTACAAATGTCCATGACTACATTAAGAGTTTTCATGCAGAAGCTGATTGTGCTCTAGCACTGAAATAGGTCAGCATAATTTCTCCATTACTCCTACAGGAGATTTTACTATTATGATTGCTTTAACATTCAACACCAATTTTTTTTTTTAGTGTTTCTGGTTTTTTTTTTCTCTTCCTGGATAGTTTTCTTTACAATGTTCCTATTCCTTTTCCCATTCATGCAATCAGCTTGAACAATTTAAATCCTTCTTCAGCCCTTTCACATGCTTCACCCAGTGATTCTCTGCCAAAAGGAAGATGAAACAATGCAATATAAGAGACAAATCCCCCTGATGAGTTGATTGCATATCTAGCAAAACTCAAAAATGAGACTGATGAGCTCTGTCTGCACCTGTTTTCTCTGAAGTTCAGAAAATTTGGTGTATTGAACCACAGAAAATTGTCACAAGTTGGTCAAAACTGGAACAGATTCTTGTGGAGTGTCTTTCAATATTGTACCCAATGTAGCTTGTGGCTGCTGCAGAAAGCTTGGTAAATACTGTTTCACACAGGCATTTTATCTAAATATAGCTACTAAATCAGAAAACCATTTCAAAAAAAATTCCCAATCACATTTTCTCTTTCAAAACACTGAATGCTCTTCAGGTATACCACAAGCATCTCACTAGGAGGGCAACACTTGAAACATTTTATTAAACATACAAAAGATTTAATGAGGTAAAGTTTGCCCCTTCCATGCAAGGTAGAACGAACTCATTTTAAGAAGTCTTCTTTTTTCAAATTCTCTGAGAGAACATGATAGAAAACAGTAATTTAAACATCTATTGGATCTAGAGTAACCTTCTCACACATTACTTGAGGGACATGGATTAGCGGGCATGGTGGTGATGGGTCGATGGTTGGACTAGCTGTTCTTAGAGGTCTTCTCCAACCTGAATGATTCTATGATTTATCTTCATACCTGTCAGTCTTTACTTTCTTCCAGTATTCATGGTCTTTAACGACAAGAAGCATGAATCTACTGTTTTCTGGATGTGATACTTAGAATACTGGACCATAATGCTCAAACAAGCTGCAAACTGCTTCTAGGTTTGACAAGACCAGCATAAGGTAACCTTGTTCTGCACACACGATAAGCATGTGCCCAAGCATTAGAGATCTCAATTTTGGGCTGACTTCAAAATTTCAATTTAACTTCTTGTTTTGTAAACATGCTACTGACAGCTTGCTTCTGCACACATCTTCAGTTTATCTGCAACATAACCTGCAAATCTTCCTTCTGTCCTCCAGTTCTTTGATCTGAGACTAGTGGAAAAGACAGTATTTGTCCTGAAGCTTGGATACAGGCTCACATATCTTCTCATTCATCCCTGCTTTGCAAGTTCTACCTCTCCATCTGTCTCTGTAAAGAATGTAGAAGGCAATGGAAGAACAGAAATGTTTACAGGAAAATATATTTATGGATACGGTATTAAATGTGGCGTCCATTTAGAAGGATTTCTTTTCTCTGCAGACTCAAATTTCTGCAGATTTGATGCAGACACTGATGATAACCATACAGGGTAGAATTCATGGACAACAAACACTCATTAACCTTCTACATTTCCAAGCCCTTACATACTGTAATACTGATACGATATAGGACAGTACCAACTCTTCCCAACAATTGTGTTCAGTAGACAAGAAGACTTCTTTGGCACCCTTTTTTTTTTTTCTTCCCTACATTGTGAATGGCAGTAGTCAGGTATAGGAAGGAATGGTAAAATACGCAGACTATGGTTTCACAGTCAGTACTGATGAGACAAGAATCTTGAAGACTGCTATCTTACAACAGCTGTCTTCTAACTGATCCCATCTGCATTCTCCTCTGGAAAATTATTTATTCCAGAAGCTTGTTCTGATTCAGCTTAGTTTATTTACCTATTTTACAGTACAAAGTAGACACTTACTGCTTGTGTAGAGTAGGTCTAACAACACTCCTGCTTATTCTTGCATATTTTCTTCCTTACTCAAAGTTTGATTTTTGCCACTTACTGTTGAGTAACTGCAGCAAAAACAAAAGCCACTGTTGTACAGAGGGGGAAATAAATTTTTATTAAGTGCAAAAAATGGTACAAAAATGTTAAAGGAATCACTGAAATGATCTCAAAATAACAATCATGTCAATTCATATATATATTGACACAAACATCATCAGGAAAACCAAAAGAACCACAGTCTATAAAAGCCTTACTAGTAGCCTCATTTCTCTAGTGTGGCAAACAGAAAGTAGGCATTTCTAAGCCTTGATTAAAATCAGCAATTTGGGACCTAAGAGCAATAAGAACTGATGTTAGTTTATGTATGCATAGTCCTATTTTCCCTTGTCTCCTTTTACCATGGCACATTGCTCAGCAGTGAATACAGACAGCCTGATTCACTTCTCTGCTCAGCGCTGCCCAAGGCCTATCTGCCAGACTTTCCAGAGTAGGAGCCATTTGTTTTTACTTCCAAACAGGACCCTTAGAAAATACCAAAACCAAAAGCACCTAAATATCAGAAATATGCAAGTTTAACCAACGTCATTCTACAAGTAGGAAAACATAATACCAGAAGTTTACACAATGCAGTTGTTGCGGAATAAGAGTTAAGCTCCTTATGCAGACTGCTGAGGAAACATCCTTTGGGATATAATTTAGTATTGGAGTTAACATGATTCTACCCAGTGTGGTGATTCTTACATTCTTCTCAAATCTCAGACTGCTATGAATACTGTCTCTCAAAAGTAATTGCAGTGTGTGTTTTCTATTTGAATTTATTGAAGCTGGTAGCTTTCTGCAGCAAATTCCATCTCCAGAATTCCTATATAACTGTATTAAAGTCACAGCCTCCACCCCATGGTTGAGTCCCTTCTGAACCTCGATCTAGATTCAGACAGTGTCCTTTGGTGTTTGACTTGGTAGGTTTTGCTGGCATTAGGTACCGAAGGTTCTTCCAAAATCTGGAATTCACGGGGAGAGATTTATCTTTTTTCCATTTCACTATCCTCTTTGATGGCAAAAGAGACAGTGATTCTGGCAAGAAATTGTAGTCACTTATAGGCATATATTCAATTAATATAATCTTCGTTTTCCTTTCTACTAGAGCTTTGTGCAGTCCACTCTCAAGTTCATATATGACTCTGTCAGAAATGTAGTTCTGGCTCAGTATAATGATTAATCTTCGGCTTTTGTCAATGAATGAATGGATATCATCAACAACAGCTGCAAATTAAAAAATAAATGTGTTATTAAACTAAATTGAAAGGGCAGGCACTGAACTGACTTCTCCTTTAACAACTCCACATGTACCAAAAATATTCTTCTTGTGAAGAATCATCCTGTCCTTAAGAATAGATTAATATTCATTACGGATAATGGATTTGTGAAAATAAGCTCTCCCATGGTCAAAGCTTAATCTCTGCAGCAGATAAAAATCTGCATACAATCTCCAGCTATCTATCTGTAATCATACGTACAGAAGGTGACAGTTAAATTTATTTTTCATCCACTGATGCCATTAGAGTGATTCCACTCAAAGTCACCAACAGTCACTTCTCCCTGATTGTTCAATAAACACCAGCTCACTCCTTTTCTTCCACTGAAATCCCAAATCTAATGCTGATAATTCAAGGCTGAGAAGGCTAGCATGAGATGATAGAATTAGTTCCAGCATTATCTCCACAACCATGAAACAACAAGGTCTACAGAAACTACAAATCTAGAAAATATGCCTCATAGGGAAAGAGAAAGCAAACTGCAGAAGTAACCAAAAGAAGAGAAAACTGAAAGGAGAAGGAGACTGGCAAGGGTACTGCAAATAGAAAGCTCCTGTAAATAGAAGGAAACAATCTGTTTTCTATATCCACAATAGATCATACCAGAGAAAATGAAATAAACTGCAACACTTGAAGGGAAGAATCAAGTTGAGCACATAGGAAAGCCTTTTTTATAATACTCAGAACTTATTGGGAAATTTGTGGTATTTCTCACAGGTTTGAAAACTATGTCAGGAAAGGATGCATGGACAGAAGATCCCGCCTTGAAAAGGAGGGTGAGAGAGCTTACTGCTTCGAGAGTTTAACATGAATTCAACTCCTCAAACAGGCCCTCAAATTAATGAAATTATATTTTTTGTGATCATCTGTAAAAGGCTTTCTGCTCATAGGTCATTTAAAGAAACAAAATGTCATGTTCTCATGTATATTTTCCTACCATTTGTCTTCTATTGGATAAAAAAAAAAAAAGGCTATCAACTGCCAAAACAAGGATAGAAACATATGAGCTACCTGAAAATACTTAATACCAGAACCATCAATTTCTCTGTGCAATAAATGTAAGTTCATTCACAGACACCTGCCTTCAGCAAAAGCAGAGAAAGAGCTCTACCATCATGAAGCACCTTATAATCTGTGTTCTCACCCTTTCTCCATGGCAGCTTTTCCACCTATTTGTCTTGACTGCATAATTAAAGGTATATATGCATGTGTCTAAGAATTCATAAAATTACATAAAAATCAATAAAATGTCTTTGTGCTGCCTCTGTGAGCAAACATAGCCTATATAAAATGAAAAGGTACCACTTCAATGTAAAGAACTTTTGATAGAATTCTTTATTTAGCTTTGCATGAAAAGGATGTGTTCATTTATTGACAAGAGTATTCAATATGCTTACCTCCTCCAGGAGATACATCTCTCTCAAATATACATAACTTGTACCCAAAGTTTTCTTCTAATATCATTGGTAATATCCTCAAAGCAAATTCTCTCTCTTCTTTACTAGTAGAAACACAGTCTTTCAGGTAAGATACAAAAGCATCATATTCTTTTCCATCTGGAAAGAAATCACCCATTTTTGTCTTGTTGGCAATGATTAGAAATAAACTATCTGATCCACCATTCTGGTTTACAAAATTACTGTTTCAGTTGCAAAGCATCTAGAAGCTTCTGCTCTTTTTTTCTTGACAATAGATACTTCAAAGATTTGTATTTGATTTTGTTTGCATTTTTTCAAATATTTGAAAATAATATATCCTCTGTCCATTATATTTTTAAATCAGATTAATTAAACCAGTCAATATGATAGTTATGATGATCAAAAAAAAGAAGGAACTTACCAGAAACTAATAGAAAAAACATGTTTATGACTTGATAAGAATATTAAATAAGTCACACTTATTTTACTCTTTGTCTAGTGCTATCATGGAGGTCTGTAGAACAATAAAATAAGCCAGTTTATTATTTTAACGAGTTAAGAGTTACAAGAATATACCACATTTGGTCATGTACCAGGAAACAATCTATAAGCATAGAACCCAAATGAGACCAATTCCAAAACTAGATTTACCACACTGATCAATCCCTAATTGAACCTTGCCAGAAAGAGCTATCTGGATTGATACAAAACACATAGCTTTGCATCAGCTATACTTCTTCCTTAGCGTTAACAAAGAAATAACTCTTTGGAAACAAGAAAACAACGACATTCACCCATTACTGAGAAATCTCCAACTACTGCGGTTTATTCAAACTACAGTCAAGCTAATTTAGAGTCCAGACTGCTACAGACAAAGAAGCATTTTAATAGCAAGCAGAAGGGCACCACTGAGGTGAAAACGAATTTCTATCGATCTATCACTTTGACAACTGCAGAATGCTTACTGTGGATAGATACCTGTACATTTCTTCACCTATGCCAACAACTCTCCAACTTTTGTGATGCAGATTACTACAAAATAGAGCATACTTGAACAGCATCCCTCCTACTGCCTGCTCCAGAGGCAGCTTCTCTGTGCTTATCTGCTTCACTACTCTAAGAGGATAACATAATTTTAGCACCTATTGATATCTTTTATGTACTCTTTGCTCTTTCTACTGATAGAACTCCTGCATTTATTTTGCCACTTCCTCAAAGATGGCCATTTTATAGAACTTATCAGAAGCTATTATTTTAATCAATGCTCTATTTCAATGTCAGCATTAGCCAAGTCATACCTCCAGCAGTGTCATCTCTTTGGCTTATGTTCCTGTAGAATAGAACTAAGTCTACTCTGAAAATCACACAGACAACTGCCACAGCCAGCGCAACACATGGAAACAGTACAGCAAGGATCATTCCAGTTGTAAATATATGCATAGGCAGATCGCGGGTATTTCCTGTAAAAGAGAAACCCAGGCAATTATAGCCTTAACAGAGAGTATGATAGTAAATACTCATGACATCTTAAAATCACCCAAACTGAAATGTTGATGTGAATCTTTTCCTGCTAATATTTCAGGCACACACATACACCATTAATCCTGAGATGGAAAAGAGCTGAAGAACAGATTAATCTAAAAACAACAAAATTAATCTTTTGTGCACACACACCCTAGATACACATAAATGAGTTTCATATGGGATCAATACTGAGATAAAACCCCTCAAAAATGTACAACATCCCAAACTGGAGAGCTATACTAGGTCAACTGCTTCTATCACACACAGAATCACAAAGAATTCTGTGTTGACCTGAGTTCTCCTCAGAATCTTTATTGTTTCCTCTTATTTGCTACTCCTTTCTCAGCTCATCAATAACACCACTTAATGTCCTTTTTAATCTTTTTTTTGTTGTTCTGTCTTTACTCTCTCAAGCTTTTTTTTGTTTATTTATTGTTATCCTCTTATTTTAAATTCCAAATATGTATTCAAATTCCAAATATGGATTAAATATTTGTGAAGTCCTTTGTGAGAGCACTGTCATGTCATGCTCACTGTAGTCTGTACTTCATTTGCTCTATTATCTGCTGCATATTTTAACATCAACTAGTCTGCACACTTAACGTTACATATTTCCTCCAAATAAAGATCGGAAAGGTCTGAGACAGAAAAAAAAGAAGGGAATGTCCACTTTTCAGGAATCTCCAAGCTGTCTAAACAATAAATACATAGTATTACTGTAAGGTAGAGGTCAGTTTTCCAGTGCTAGAGAGATAGAATTTCTCTGACAAGAGAGAAATCTTCGACCAGAATGCCTGAGGCATTAGTGGGAATATCAAAGACTGCCCTTTCTAACAAACTACTACAGAGGGATTTGTCAGCCAGAGCTCAGCTCTGCCTTCCCAAGATGTACCCATGGCAGCAGTGGTTTACCCAAGGAGCTTCAGACAGCTGCTACAATCCCCACTGCCCCAGCTCAGTGCAGAAGGAATCATCTGGAGATATGTTAAGCCCAGCATCAGAGGGGCCAAAGCCTTCACAAGCATGCGTGTCTGGACTGATATTCTGAAATCAGTGCTGTGCCACCCTTGCGAAGGGGGCTGGCACAAATAATAATTAAAAATGAGAAGCATGATTCATAGATTATACCGTACCTTTTTTCAGTTTCACTACTTTTATGTGCATTATTTCATCGGCTTGCAGTGTGCAGGTGAAATTGTGATTCAAGTCCTCCTCTCTTACTTTTTTAATCCGTAGAAGCCTTGTGATATAAAACTTGTTTCCCAAACTGCAATAAGGAATGAAATTAGCAACACTACCTGCATAGAAATCTACAATAAGTTGAGAAGCAGATTTTGAGGGAAAGGTTGTAGAAGAGCTTCAGGTATTTTAATTAATTTGCAGTCCACAGCATATGACAGAAGATCAGTATTTTCTGGAAACCTACTGTGACTTTTTTAAATCTTCTTCACATATTGGTGGATCAGCTTCGGGAATACCTGAACATTTTTTGGGAAATGTATCATTAAACCACCAGTAGAGGTTGGCATCTTCTTGTATATAATAACCCAAGAAACCTGTGCAGTTGAGTGTCTCTTCTTTACCTAAACAAAGCATAACATAAGAAGATCTAATCAAAAGCAGCATTCACATTTACAGTGCAGCAAAATATGAGCTTTACAGGTCAGATATCCAAGATGCTATCCTCCTTTCTGGATTTAGTAGCCCTAACACAAAGTTTTATACATGTTCCATCTGCACTGTTGCACTCCATTGCAGAGTAAGGATCTTCTGTCAAATTAACTCTGTAACAGGCAGAAAAGTTTAAATAGGTGAAAGACTTTAATGGACTTACTGGATGCTGCTGGAAGATAAAAGGACAACTCATCAGTGCCTCAGGGCCAGGTAAGGGCAATTAAACCAACTGATGGGGCTAACTAAACTGTATACAACAGCACAAAGAAATAACCAAACCTGCTATGGCCTGTGATGACCTCTGACAGAAAAAGCTGTCTTCTCTTCCAGTGGAACAGTTCAAGAATCTCTAAAGCAAGTCTATCTGAAAGTATGCCAGCTTTAAATTTAGATCATCTAAATCCAAATCACAGTTGCACAGTTTGAAACATAGACTTAAACATTTATTATCAACTACTTTGCAACTCGAGCCTTACTGTGCGCAACTGCTATTTTCAGGAAAATTTTATAGAACACTGTCTAAACAACACAAGTTTTGAAAGTCCACAGACCAAATTCATTCAAAATTCCTTTCATTCTCCACCACGCCATCATGCTGAAGGTAAACCAACATCTGGTGCCTTGGCTGAGCAAATGAGATTCACATATGAGCAACAGAGGTGCTAAATAAGAATTTGCAAAATGATGCAAGGGGACACTGGATAATGGAATGGGAGAAGCCCTCAGACACAGGACAGGAAACAGACAGACAAATTTATGTTCTTGGGAATCATATAGTCTCAAAAGGAAAAATTCAGATGGTTTCCAATACTGTGTGAATCCTACAGACCATGTTATCTAACCCCCAGCTAGGAACACAGACAAGGATTCTTTGCAGCAGTAAGAGATCTGAATGCTTTTACTGACAGGACTGTCATCCCTCAAATTTCACACTGCACTGCAGAGCAACATCTTTGACTGTAACAGATATGAAAGGGATTACTTATTATTGTTGCTCACTGAAAAAAACAACCAGATGCATTTCACACATTGTTCTGTGTTGCTTGCTGTCTAAAAATAAAGCCATGGAGGGCTGGTTTATCATTACCGCCACTTTTTCTTGATGGTCATAGCAACAACCTCCTCTTCTGCCTCTGCAAGGGGGAATTTAGTGTACTTGTAGATAGATCACGGAACCCATTAGTAAAAAAATAACCATTTGTGAAGACGTATTAGATCCAGCAAGGTATACAGACAACTATTTCAGTTAAACTTAGCAGACCATCAGCCATAAAGAGCTCAGGACTAAAGCATGTATATGAACATGTATAAAAATACTCATATCAATTTGATACCTATTTCTGTTTGAATTTCTTCATTGCGTCCAACTATCTCCAAAGTTACAATCTCTGGTGCATCTAAAAAAATATATAAATAAGGCAGTTTTGCTATTGAAGCTTTCTTACATTCTACAACAGTAAAAATGACAC